TGTGCGACTCCAACTCCAAGTGGTGCGAGAAGGCGGCCGACAGCCTCCGATATGTTTTTGACGTACGGGATCGCTCACCAAATGTTGGGATCCATGTGACTTTGTTGGCCATCTCGTCTGCTACTGTTCTGTGACTATGTCTCTGAAGATGAATCCGAGACGGATTTCGAAACGTCAGGCAAATAAACGCAGTGTCCCAGCGATCGAGTTATCTCCTACTTCTCGATGCCAGGATCAAAGGACAGTTTAGGGTGATAAGGTGCGGGTACTCACCTACAGAGCCTGTGCCATCAATGATGGCAGTCACTGTGGCCAGGGCCTTGGCATTGCCCTGCAGTGTTGGATGAGTGCCCAGATCGGCGGAAACAGCGGTTGTTATGAGAGCGTAGGGGCCGTTGATTAACAAACCCAGCGGAACAAGCATGCCTGGCGCGCGGGGAAAAGAAGAAGGAGACGCGTGATAGGGGAAGAATGCAGACGCGCTATGATAAGAATGCAATAATATACAATAATTAGTAAAGGTGAAGACTTGTCGACCACGGGAACACTCTGTGTATTATGCTCCGTTTCTCGAACTCTTGCAGGACTTCATCATCAGAGATAGCAGCAGCCGCAGCAGTAATTATCGGGGGTGTAGGCAAATCAGTTATGCATGACGCGGGTCCGGAGGGGACTGCGTAGGGCTCTGTACGCTGACGTCAAGTCGATACATCGGTTGATTGAGTTACCATAAGGGAAAACGGGACGAGTGGGTTCCGTAACCTATCACTGACCGTTCATCAACCATTGCCAATATTCGTGAGCGAAATAAGCAGAACGATTCCGCGGCTCCAAGGTTAGAGCGCCGGACTTCTAATCAACGGGTCAGGCATTCGAATCTTGGTTGGTGTACACCTTCCGGGTGGACATGGCTGGCTGGTGAGGGCTGATAATTCAGAAATTGTCATCTCAGGCGACCTTGTCTTTGTTGATAATAGCTACTAGCCTATACAACTAGCCGCTGTGCGGCTGCTGGGGAGGACGGGGAGCCCTAGAGTGAACCCCGAGGTAGAACGGTACGTCTATTAGCCCAACAACTCACAGTTGTCAAAAGGACGTGTAATAGATGCAGCGCGGATCTACGAACACTAAGAACTAATTCAGACACAAGTTAAAACATCGCACTCGACGGTCGAACTGTCGTAACCTCAACAGAGGTAGACTGTTCTCGTGTACCATACATCTGTTTAGTCTGTCCTTCTCTACGGCTGTAAAAGCTGAGCTACGGGCGTGAAAGATGAAAGAAAAGTGGACATTTTGACCACAAATACTTCAGCATCGTCCTTCGAATGAAGTACACCGACTACGTCTCAAAGGAGACAGCCCACACTCGCTGCGGCAACATCGCAGGGATATCCCAGGCGAATGAAGTGGTTTGGACAGGTTATTCGTCATTAACTTAAGGAGCTTTGTGTTATTGTCCTCGACCCGACACCGTTTCCCAAAGAAGAGACGTCGAACAGGGAGTCAGCTTAAAACCTGGCCCGATGCAGTTTGCCTGGACATGGAAGTAGTTCTTGGACCTTCAGTGTTCGGCCCCTGGTTTTGGCGAAGAGAGTGGAAGTACCAGTTGAGACATCATCGACGCTGGCTAGATCAGTCATGATCGTAGGCGCAACTAGTACAAGTTTAACCTTGTCCAACACTGCACCCACAGGCAGGATCCCATTATCATGACTTCGAGAAGGAGGAAGACCTGACGAGAATTTGTCGAAAGTACACGTATACTCGCCAAATTGGACTTCTGAATTCTCTGATGGGAATTGTCGCAACCCTAAAAAAACATTGTTTTAAAGGGAAAAAAAGGTTATGGCCCTAAACAACGTTTTGATAGAGGAAAACAAGTAGAAGACGCATAGGAACCCAAAGAGACTTACATAGACAGTTGATGATTGAGCGTACACCCCACAGATAGAAGGCATAGAGCTGCAAAATGGAAATTTTAGAATTAATGGCATACAGCGCGTAATCTCAGAGTCGACAGAAAATTGTCCATAGATCCCAAACCCATATGAAATTCAACTCAACGCCTCCTAAGTTGAATCACTCAAAAAGACGCTGACTATACTTGAAACACCGTAAAACGCAGTGCTCTAGGCTCGGTGTGAGGACGACACCATCATCATAATTGAGCGGGTGCGAGTGCTGACGTTCAGGAAACGTCTAAACGTCGTCTTCCAGGACATTCAATTAAGGATGGGGGATGAAGAAAACAACTGGCTAGCCTTACTGGATACCGTTGTTTGCCTCAAAGAAGACGGTGGCTAAAAATTGTCGTTCCCATACTCTGTACCGAGACACTGTCTGAGCAGGCGCATCGGTGACGTAGGAAGGGCCATAGCCAGCGATAAAAAGAATTGAGCAGAATTTAATGACGTCATGAAATTTCGTGACGTCTTAAATGTCATGATTTTATTAAATTCTGCTCAACTCGTGATCTTCCGGGAAAATAATGCTCCAATAAAGAGTGTTCAGGAAAATGACTAGCACTATGCAAGTCCTGAACCTCAACAGTAACCGCCTAATCAGACCCAACGCAGCTGTGTAAGTGACGTGTTGAGACGTATTGCAACAAAATGAAGGACAAATTTGCTGAATTACAATATCTTCGACGGGTACTGAGAGCACTTTTGTCCACCAGTGCATACGCAGACGAGACAAGAAACCGAATCCAAATGTTTCAAACGTTTGGTGAGCTCTTCCGTACGTGAAGAATGCATCGGATGCAGTCAGTCGCCTTTTCACTCCACCTGGAGTTGAAATTGTGCACAGGCCAGAAGCAACCATCAGGAGCAGGGTCATGAGACCGAAAGACCCGCTACCACGGCAGGAAACGGCTGGAGTAGTTTACCGGATCTGGTGCAGTTGTGAACAAAGCAACTACGTCGGAGAAAGCGGGAGATTACTCCAGACGCCAATGGCTGAGCACGCAGCAGCAGTGAGAAAAAAAGACGCTAATTCCTAGGTGTCAGCCCACTCGATGGGACTCAGCCATATTTTCAAGCTTAACGAGGCCAAAATCTCCGCAAGAGGTGACGACCGCGTGAGCCGCGAGTCGCTTGAGTCTGGATTCTCAGGCAATCAACAAGAGCAAAGAATTGCCGTTCGCATACTCCGTACTGAGACATTGTCTGGTCAGATGAATCAGCAACTTTGGTTGGGGCGAGCCCAGAACGACAGTGAACATAATTTTCGCGCAATTTTCTAGCTCGCAACCGACACGGATGACTAAATTTCGGCAAGTAATAGCTCGAAAGCAAACTGCCAAGCTATTACTGCACCAAATACGACTCCCAGAAGTCACAGCAGCAGTTATAGTGCGCATGCGAGTGACCGCTACGAACTATAAATACCGCGCAATCTGTCCATTTACCAACGTATTTCTCACGCTATTCTACGGTTAGCTATGATAAAGGATTCTCGACAGAATCCGAAACGTCAGGTAAATAAAACCCTGTTCTGACTTGTGTTATAATTAGACTAGGCAACTTTTTTGTTAGGATGACTTATATGGTCGCCTAAACGGGAAACTAAAATAGAAATGTCCCACCCACACGCCGTATTTATTTGATGCCCAGGCCGTTCTGGAATATTCTAGCCTATAGTGTGCATAATCTTTAATGGTCCAGTTTGTGCCGTGGTGTCCATTGATTGCCAGGTTCGTACGGAAGAATCCCTTGCAGGAAAATATCGATTATTAGATTCACAGCACTCGAACAACTCGTACTTTATGTTACCTGGAGGCAGCCTACATACGGTGGTTTAAGCCCGACCTATGCAAACAGCTGGAGCATGTAATGAACCTAACTCTGCCTTGGCAACATTTGCTCCCTGTTAACACATTCCCCTCCAAACTTTTTACGTTAGATGTCTTTCCCTGTTTTTGTTGCCCATGCCGTTGTAACTTTCTTGTGTTATTGATTAGCCTCTTGGCCATTTCTAATGACCTCGCTGTGTATCGATTTTTCTGTATGAATTCAATTTGTATTTTGTCTTACGTGATTTATGTTTTGTAATGAGGGGCAGCAACTGAAGAGCTCTTTCGAAATGTCATGGATCCAATAAAGCATGCTGTTTCTACCATCTTTAAACATACACTATGTCTCGTATGACAACTCAATCAACAGACATATCGAGCTAGTGCCCGCATATATAGCTCTCCACAGGCATATCAGCAAGGTCGATACTGGTGATTAGTAGGTTCTCTCCCCCCCCCTCCACTCTCAATAACCGTTGATTGGCTTCTATCCCCTATAACTGTTACTTCTTTTTCGTTAATGCTTTACCACTGATGATGGAACCCCGCAAGAGTCCTAAAGCTCAGAAGAATAAAACTCATGATTCTGGTGATCGAAACACCTTCTTCTTCAATACCCATGCCTGGGATGCGAACATTTGCCTCAGGAAACAATCGATTATTGCAGGAAACTATCATTTATTCGATTTGCAGAACACGTGAGCAAACGCGTCACGCCAGCGCGATACTCTAACGCACGCTAATTGACTGGGGGAGCTAACAGGCCGTAGCCGGTCTGGCGCGCGGTTTCGCGATCGCTTCGTCACAAGCGGCGCCGTAACACTATTTTACCAGTGGAAATTTCTCGGAACGGGTGCTAAGATGCATGCACCAGCATATAAATAAAAGTGT